GCAGGACGACAGACCGAAGCAAAAGAGACGAGAGAAACTAAATGAAAAAGTAGAGAAGGAGAGAGGAGTGAAAGAGAGAGTGAAAAGGAGAAGGGTGGGAGAGAGAGTAGGAGGGTGGGGGGGGGGGGGGGGGGGGGGGGGGGGGGGGCTTAATAGAGAGGGGGACTTATTAACTTTCCTCCCCTGAAAAGGGTGGCTTATTAGCGAGGGGGGACTTAATAGAGGATTTACGGTATGTGTTTTGTGTGCAGGCCATCTGATATTACGCGAAGGTGCAATTTTGCACAATTGACCTCAAATTGCATCCCATCGCAAAATTTGAGGAAAATAGCATAATTCATAAAAAAATGCTAAATTCAAGGAAAGTAAACAATGAATTCTAACTTTAATTAACATTTTCCCAATCTTAATGTTAGTTAAGGTGATTTACCACCAAAGAAAGCCTTGCAAGGCATCTGAAACCTTCGATCGTGGTATCTGGGAAGCCATATTTTGGTTTCAGAGACAATCAGTGTGGTCAGCGGTGTAACAGCATCATGTAATATTAAGCAAGTGTCCTTTTTCTTTTCCAGGTCAAAATAATCGGACAAATTTAACTATTTCGTTTTTTTTATGTTTTATTATGCCTTTACATTCAAATTGCCTGTTACACAACATTAAAGTGGTTTTTCTCCTTTGAAATCTGGTAAAACAATGCAGGGTTCGCAAATACGCCCAAATTGTTCAGATGACTCCACTGAGGTTATTGAGGGAGTCACCTCGACTCCAGAAATTTTCAGTAAATTTGTCCTTACCTTTTTCGCAACAAATACAATTTGCGTTAATTGTAAACGTTGTAAATCATAATTGAATCATCGAAATTAAAGAATTATACTGCACGACAAAACAGGAAGAGGGTAAATTACGATCAAAGTTTACTTGTTGACCGCTGTCATGGATTTAAGCTTTCCAGGTCAGCGGACCACCACAGCTACTTCGTGTATCCCCCATGATAGTGTATACATGCCAGGACTACACGCTGGAAAGTCTTGAAAATGGCTTTTTTTGTTGTGATGCTTGACTCCAAATATTCCAAAATGACTCCAAAATTTGTCAAGCAGAAGTCACACTGACTCCACTCATCAATAAAATTTGCAAACCCTGCAATGTAAATTAGCCCTGAAAAAATCTCATAATTTATTGCACAATAGCCCTATCTTATCGCACAATCTACCCTGAAAATACAATTTCTGATTTTTTATCACACCCTATCAGATGGCCTGTGTGTGTAAAGTTCTATGGAAGGATTGTTCCCAAAATGAGGTAGATCTATCCTCCCTGAAGACACTGCTAAGCTTACCAATTTGATCTTTTAAACTGAAAAATAAATAAATAATCTGCATTGCTCCAAGAGGCACAAAAACAACCAAACAAATCACTAAACTGAGGGTTAAGTATGTT